GAACGGCAAAAGAACAGTATCTTCAAGGCAGATGCATGATGGCGAAAGAGCACCAAGCTGAGCTCCAGCAGGTGCGGCTCCTACTTCAGCAAACAAGGGAAGAGACACGTGAAGAGCAGCAACAACTCCAACGGACACATGCTACGAATGAGAAGAAATTGCGTGACATGATAAGCGCCACGGAAAAAACGAGGGACGATGCGCTTAAAAAGGCAACGGAGGGTCTGCAGCTTCTACAGTCAGCTGATCGGCTGGTGGAGGGGACCAGTTCACTGTACGGCGAACGTACTGATATGCAATGGGCCATCTTCAGCAGCGCCATGGACTGTCTTCAGACGGCGTGTTTGGCGTATGCGGCGGAAACGCAGCAGAGACAAGAGGATAAGCTCAGTAGCCTCCGGCGGGAGCACGAGGTAGCAGTCAGTGTGCTGGAAAAGAAGGTGTGTATTGCTAAGGCTGTGCTGAAGCGGTGGAGTGAGGATGAGGTGCGAGAAGCTGCAGCTGTACGTGCTTTTAACGCGTTGCATTTATCTTCTGTTATTAAACAGACGTGTGCTCTTGCTGCAGATCATGTATCTAAAAGGCAGGACGTTGCACTGCAGGAAGAATTGGCCCGGGTGGAGATGACTGTATCACGTCGTGAGTTGGAGATGCAGTTACTCCATAGAGAAGAAATGGTGCACGGGTTGATTGAAGGCCACGCTGCATTTGCGGCGCACTGCGCAGTGGAGCATGCTGCATTGGTGGAAATTGTTCGCGAGGGGCTGGCGTCGTTGACTGACGTCACACAACGCTTCATGGAGCAGTGGCAAGAGCAGCGCTCTTTAGACTGTCTGAGGCTGGAGGAGAACATGCGTGGGGTTCTCAATTTCTGGGAAGCGGGTGAGTCGTCTACGCTGCATGGCCTGGGGTCCGGTTTGCTTTTATGCGCCTTTGAGATTGACGTCATTGGGCGTGAGGTGGAGAGCGCGACAAAACTTGTTCTTTTTGAGAATCACGTTCTTGTTGAGCAAGATTTACCACTCAGCGTAAATCCTGTGGTGATGCTGATGTTTTTGGAGCAGTACAAACAGTGTGCTTTTGAGGAATTGATGTTGCATTACGCCTCTTTGGACGATGCACGTCGCGCTTGCAGTGTGGAAGTTGCCACTGAGGCTTTGAGGTACGAGTATGAGGTGACAATCACCGCGCTGGAGGAGCACTTTTACCATGAGATGCATGCCTTGCAGAAGGAAAATGCGGAGTTGAAGGTCAATCTAAGCAACCTGCGGGATAATCTGGAGTTTCGGGTCAACCTTGATCAGCTGGAGGAGGAGATAGTGCTGCGAAACGTGCAACAGGACACCCAGCAGCGCACCGATGGACTCTACTTCGGCAGTCAAAGTGGAAATGACAAGGTAAACGCGACGAAACACGGCCGCACCAATGCGGGGCTTGGTGGCTATTTATCTTCTTTTTTTCTTCGCTCAAGGGCGGCAGGGAGCGACGCATCCCCGCCAAGCGTGAAAATAATGGGCGACCCATTGTATAACGAGAACTTTGATGTGCGGGGAGCGGTTTCGTCAGGACGCACGCCGGCGCCAACAGCAAGGCAGGCTCTGAGGTCAATCCATCCTTCCCACCCTTCCCTGGTCGCCAGCTCCGCGTCAAGAGTGAACCATGTGCCGCTGTCGAGAGGGAAAGTGGGTCATGCAGATGACTCTCTGTGCGATACGGAGGACTCTCAGAGGTGAGAAGTTTGCACTTGGCCTGAAAGAATGGGAACAAGAAGGCAGGGTGAACATGCCGCCTGATTTTTTTCGCTTTTTTTTGTTGGCATGTTTGCATTACGCCCATTTCTGAGGTCGACCCTGTATTTTTGCACCCATGGCCACTGTTAAGTTTCAGTCATGATAGTACTATCTCTGTTGACGTTTGACCGGTCGCCTTCTTGTAAAATTACGTGAGACTCATACTGCGATGACATTGCGAGTAGATTTTTTTGTTCAAGATTGTAAAACGTTGTTGGGTTCTTAAGTGTGTGGCCGCGGTGTTCCTTCTCCCCTTCTTTCTTGCCCTTTCTCTCCATCCCCGCAAACGCCTATAAATACCCGAGTCCACGACGTTTGCACCTTTCTTGTATTGTTGTTATTATTATTTATTTTTAGTTATATAAAAAAAAATCACTATCAGTCTTCTCAAGCTTCTCAATAATAATAATAAAAAAACAACTACATCAAAGATACCCGTAAGCATGGTGAACGTTGCAGTCATTGGTGCTGCTGGTGGCATTGGCCAATCCCTTTCCCTGTTGCTTCTTCGGGAGCTGCCTTTCGGAAGTACACTGTCACTGTATGATGTGGTTGGTGCACCTGGCGTTGCTGCTGACCTTTCTCATGTCGACTGTGCTGGTGTCACAGTGAAGCACGCTGCTGGGAAGTTGCCTCCTGTTCCCCGTGACCCCGCTCTGACTAAACTGGCCCAAGGCGTTGATGTTTTCGTCATTGTGGCTGGTGTGCCGCGCAAGCCTGGTATGACACGCGATGATTTGTTCAGGGTGAACGCTGGTATTGTTATGGACCTTGTCTTGACATGCGGTGCGGCATCTCCCAGTGCCTGTTTCTGCATTGTCACTAACCCTGTGAACAGTACCGTACCCATTGCGGCCCAAGCACTGAAGAAGCTTGGCGTGTACAACAAGAATAAGCTGTTTGGTGTGAGCCTTCTCGATGGGCTGCGGGCCACACGTTTTATCAACAACGCCCGCTACCCTCTGTCCGTTCCGTTTGTGCCGGTTGTTGGTGGGCACAGTGATACCAGCATTGTGCCGCTGTATTCGCAGATTGCAGGTCCTCTTCCCGCTGAGTCGACGCTGATGGCTATTCGCAAGCGTGTGCAGGTGGCGGGAACGGAGGTGGTTAAAGCAAAGGCGGGTCGCGGCAGTGCGACGCTTTCTATGGCTGAGGCAGGCGCCCGCTTTGCCATGTATGTTGTAAAGGGAATTATGGGTCTGGATTCACCTTTGGTATACGCGTTTGTCGATACGGACGGCAAACACGATTGCCCCTTCCTCGCGCTGCCGGTAATTATCGGAAAGAATGGCATTGAGAAGCGTCTTCCTATTGGCCCCATCACGGCCGTCGAACAGAAGATGCTTGAGGAAGCTGTCGCTGTCGTGAAGGGCAATATTGCGACGGGTGAGACATTCGCACGGTCGAAGCTGTAAGCGCAGATTGTGTGTGTTTTTTTCTTTTTTGTAATTTTTTGGAGTGAGTTCAGGTGAACTTGCGTCCGGATCAATTCTATTAAAGGGCATGTGCTAAAGGGAATTTGGTAGGTGTATAAACGCCAGGGAAGCTCAATTGTAGTGGAAGAGAAGCGACAATAACGACGTCTATGCATTGTAAAAGATGTTGTGTGTAAAAAGGTAGGCAATCAAATACGAACAGCATGAACAGAATTTTTTGGGGGTTCCACAAGGTCTCCCTAAAAACTAGTATTTGGGTGTTTTTATTATTATTTTTCTTTGTTTGAAGGTTTGATAATTCGTTGATAGCGTGCCGTGGAAATAAACTATGATGCTTACCTTGGACTGTTTATGACAGCCTGCTTGAGCCTGGCATTCATGGATCTCGCGGCCCCGTGTTTTGTGTGTTGTTTTTTTTTTGATTTCTCAAAATCAATAGCCCTACTTTGAATTCAGTTGCCGCGTCCGTCGCCCGTCGTTGCTACTTTGGCGTCTCACACGGTTTAGCTACAAGCGTTTGGGGGGCAACGTCGGATATGCCGTCTCCTGTGGTGCTTACGCGGTCCGCCCCCGCGCGCACCCTCACCATTCAGATGCTTGATCGCCGTCTCAAGGGCCTTCAACGATGCCTTGTGGATGCACCCGCGTGTGATATGCACAAACTTTGCGCGGAGCAGATGCTCGACCGTTGCGGCTTTGTAAAGCGCGAGACACCGGTGGTGCTAAAAGTTGGGGCGCACACTGGCTGGTTCTTTCGTCACATGCTTGAGAAACAGCAGCTCTTCGGACTTAAGCAGTACATTCAGCGGATGCCTGCGAGGAGCGCTTAAATCGCAATTACGAGGAGGTAAAGCACATGATTCCACCCAATGTCGAGTCTGTGCAGATATGCTGTGACGAAGAGGAGACGGATCCCTTCGGTGTCCCTGAGCGGACCGTGGACATGGCGGTGTCGTGTCTCTCCATGCACTGGGTCAACGACCTTGAAACGGCCATGGTGAATATCCGCAGGGTTCTGAGGAAAGACGGCTTTATGCTGCACTCTATGTTTGGTGGCAATACCCTTTATGAGCTCCGCGAGTTTTTCTCCATGGCGCAAACGGAAGTGCTGGGCAGGGTATTGCCGCACATTTCGCCCATGATTGATGGTGCTGGGTTGTCAACGCTTGTGCTGCAGACCGGGTTTAATCTCCCCAGCATTGACGTGGATCGTCACCTACTGCTGTACCAAACACCGTTCCACCTTATGGAGTATCTATCAGCGATGGGGGAAAGCGCGTGCCACTACAAGCGCCATCCTTTGAACCGCGATGTGCTGCTTGCGGTGTGTGCCACGTATGACGCCATGTACGGAAAAAACGAACTCATTCCTGCAACGTTTGAAATGTTTCACACCATCGCATGGAGCCCTAGTCCAACACAGGCAAAACCGCTTGAGCGAGGTAGCGGCATGGTGCCTCTTTCTAGTTGGAACTCGCACAGCCGGAAGCGGCTACAGGAGCTTCTGGATGAGTTTGCGCAAAATCTGGACGATGAGGCGCTGCAATCACGGGCGGAAGACCTGTTCCAGCAGCTGCATGAGGAGAGTGTGGCGTTGCTTGAGCAGAAAGGCCTCGATGTGCGGAGGCTGGACAAGCGTCCGCGACGAGGAGGCACGAGAGATAGAAAAACGCAAGCCTGACCCACCGTTCCAGCAAGGGGAAGGCAATCACAATTATCTATCGGGAATTATGCTTTTTGAGAAGCAAATTGGAATAAAAGCAGAATAATAATAATTATTATTTTTTTGTTTCAAAAGAAATCAGGGAGTCTTTCTGTGAGGTCTATTGGAGCTTTTTGTTATTCTTATTTCTTGGCGGTTCCTGTGTTGAGGCATGGAGAGTGTGGGGGTGTCTCTCTGCATACGGGGGGTGAAGGTGTATTCGTTTCTATGTCTTTTGTGGGCGAAAACTGAGTATGTGTGGTGCTTGCGTTGCCTCTTTTACCATGCGAATGTAGACAGCGTAATGCCAATTTATACATGGTTGTAGAAAGATGCGTTTTTTTTTTGTTTCATCTTGCAAGCGTAAGGGGTAGGGGTGGGGACTATTCAGTACTACCACCTTGTTGCCTTACGAGCGAACAGAGAAGCGAGAAGATCCATCGTTAACGTTGTGTGTTTGTTGTGTGAGTGTGTCATTGCCGTCTCTGTTGGGGATGAGGGCGAAGGCGGCAAAACATGGTCATAAAAAGGCACCCCACATTGCGCCGTCGGCGGATACAGTGCAGTTCTGGAACTGCTTGAAGAAGGGCGATGTTGAGGGGCTCGAGGAGATCCTGCTGACCCGCATAGAAGACAAAGAGACCGGCGCTGTGACATTGGCGGTGAACAGCAATGTTGCCAGCTTGCTTGTAAATCGTCCCAACGCAAAGAATATGCTTCCACTGTCGTATGCAGTGAGGCAGCGAATGGATGAAGCAGGGCTGCACCTACTGCTTCGCGCCGGTGCCAATGTCGACGCTGCTGAGGATTCTGCTGAGCGCTCCACTGCCCTTCATACAGCGTGCTGGGGCGAAGACGACGCTGCGGTGGCGCTGTTTTTGCGTTGCGGTGCAAACCCTCTCGTTACGAACGCGGAAGGCAGCACGCCACTCCATGTCCTCACCTCGCTAAATGCTGCAGAGTTGTTTTCATACTTTCTTGAGACTGCCACCGCGCAGAACACAGATTGTCAGGGAGGGCTTCTATGCTTAGACGGTCGCTCTCGTGTTGTTGTGTCGGCGTTTGAGTTGCTTGGCAAGAAAGATGTGTCCGGCTTCACGGTGTTGCATATCGCTCTGTCGGAGATTGAGAGCGTGTCCGGTGGTGTCCTGGTGGATCTCTTGGATTTCTTGACACATATGGCGAACATAGACCCAGCTGCGGTGGAGACTCTCGTGAACATGGGGGCTGAGGCGGGGTGCACGCCGCTTCATTTGCTTCTCTCGTCCTCAAGTCTCAACGAGGACGTTCTGCTTCGAATAACGGAGCGTCTGTTGAAGCTTGGCGCGAACCCCGCTGCGATGGACGAGTGTGGCCATACCCCCCTTTCTGTTTTGCTCTTAACTCACTCAGGCGTCACCGCGATGCGTGTGTTGTCGGTACTCCTGCATGCGCTGCAAAAGAAAGGAAACAGGAAGGAGCTAGAGGAGGTGTTTCTTCGCCATAGTGCAGTGAACGGATTTGCGCTTATTCATCATGCCATTGTCACTCAAAATGTGGATGCCGTAAAACTTATGGTAACGTTTCTTAAATCTGTGGATGGGGCAGATGAATTGCAGTACGTTCGGCGATGGCTGGGTGAAGTCCTCACAAGAGACGGGGTACATGTGGTGTTTATGCTGGCCGAGCGTGCCTGCGATGACATTGCCCACGTATTACTCAATGCCAGTGCCATTGATGAGAGAGCGTATAACTGCTGCAAGGAGAATTGTAAAAAGCAAAGGGAGGAAATGGAGAGCGAAGAGCGTGAGCGACGTGCTAAAGCGGAGGAGGAGGAAGAGGAAGAGGGCCGTAATGGGAATGGGACTCCTAGTGCCGAAAAAAACACTGGGGATTATTCCGGTTTTGGAGGCACTGCGAGTGTGGGGTCACGCGTTCAGCAGGCACGGAAAGCGAGAGCCCATGCAGCGACACAGAGGAAGAAGCAAACACTACATTGTGCGGATTGTGGAAGCACGGAAGGGCTTGCATTGAGTTGGCACTCCAAGTCCTTCTGGTTCTGTGTGGCGGTGGCGTTTTTGATCGTCTGGCTTGTGATGAGGAGTTGTACCTTTTTCAGAGATGCACTGAATAAAATCTGAGAGCACAAAGACTGCATCCAGTGCTGCAGTGTTTTGACGCTTTGTTTGTTTGTTTCTTTTTTTTTTTTTGTCTGTATTTGCTTCTCGTGTGTGTGTGTGTGTTTTGCGGGGATGGGCGGATTTGTTGGGCTGCGTCCGTTATTCTTACCGTCTGGCGTATGCGCATTTTTTTTCTTTTTTTCCTTTCTTCCTTCCCCCGTCATTCCGTTCTTCTTTTGGGTGGGGAAAGACGGCGTGCGGGTCAACGTCACTTTTGCCGTCCAGTATTGATGACTTTTCATCGTGCATTTCCGCCGAGGCGTTTACCCTCGCGACGTGCCACGAGCCATGCGGCGACACCACCGGAGGTCCCAACTTATCGTGCTTACAGTAGTGGCTATCACTCACCACGCACGCCTCGCTTCCGTGTACCACCACTTTCTCCGCCTCCGTCAGCATCACCACAGCAACAGCAACAGCAGCAGCAAGAATTGCGGGAGGCAGAGGAAGGGAGAGAGTGGCGTGGGTGGGGTGGTGTTCAAGAACTGCTCGTCAACAATGGATCTTCTCCATCCCCAAAACTTTCGATTCATGCGAGCTTTGCTGAATCGCAGCATCTGGTGCCCTCTGCGAAGGAGTTAGATGAAGAACACACCCCACATCGTCATTTCTACCGTGTTGGTGGCGATGATGTCTGCTCTGTAAAACTCGTTGCGTTTTCCATCTACAACTCGATGACCGTGACGGGGATTGTGGAGGTGACACCGTGCCAATGGCGGCTCAATGCGAATCCTTCCCTCTACCCTGTGCAGCTGCAGATACGACAACTGGACACAAACACCTACCCAATGCGCCGGTTACTCCGATTAATTCAGAGAAAGGTCCCAGACGGAGCCGGAGGTGAAAGCGGAATTGATGTGTCACCACAACAGCAACCAATGAGAGGATCACTGTATATATTCAAGATGGATAATCCCCATCTGCAGTTTGTTTCCGGTCTGCCAAGCATTGTCCCTTTGAGTGGATCAATTGTGTTGGCGGATGTGGTGAGAGTGGATCAAATTCCAATTAACGGCGCCGCCGTACAATTTAGGTGGATTGAGGATACCCCTAGAAGAGTCCTCGTAGACATTGACACGCCTCTATCCGGGGATGACGCAGATGAAACCGCCGTACGGAACTACAAGCCCCCGTCAAGTGATTCTGTTGCCCGAACCTGCCAAGAGCACGGTGGGGGCGGTCATCCAAAGCATGTTCATAATGAGGCCGAGAAAAACAACTTTAGAGCATCATGGCTCATCAATGAAACAGGCGAAGACGTCTTTTTGAAGTTAGAAGAGGGAAATAACTTGGCTGAACACTCCCCTCACGTAACTACTGACAATAGTGAGTACACATTAAACATACTACCTGCCTCTGTTATTCACACTGCTGGGGCCGCATCACCCATTACGTATTTACATACGCCATACATCAGGTAGAAAGCATCGCATGTGCAACATTGCGACACTTGTTTTGCCTTTTTTTTTTATTGGGCAGTGGAAGTCGTGCGGCATGTGAGGAGTTTCTACTCTCACCCCCTTCTCATTTTCTTTTCTTCCCTATTTGTATACCTGTAAACTCATTCTCTTTCTTCGAGCCTACACTGTCTACTGCGTCTGTGCGGGTGAGTAGTAAGGGCGTGTCTAACGAGGCTAGGTGCGAAAGGACAGGGGAGGAAGACGCCTACTTACGTATGAGGAGGGAAAGCCGCAGCCTCCATGGTTGCATTCAATTATCGAAGTCTTACGGCTGTATTTTAACTGTCTTCTTCATTTTTCATTCCGAGTTTGTTTGAGTTATTTTTTTTTCCTGCCCTCTTCCTTGCAGTGGCTGAGTTGTTTCTCATCATTGAAGGTCCCGCCGCACGGTGAAGGATGCTCCTCAATTTATGATTTATTCTGTTGTGATTTTTCTCTTTGTCTGTTGTGTGCCGCTTTTTTTTTCTTGTTTTGTGGCTGCTGCTGCCGGCTTGCGCGGTGCGCGAACGGTGAAAAAGGGCAGCCGCTCCTCTAGCGTCTACGTGCTGTTGGGAAACGAAAGGTCGAGTCATGGACGACGCAATAGAATTGTTGGAAAGCCGCCCGTTGGTGGGCTTTCAAATGGATGGATCGCACCTCCACAGCATCCTGAAGAAGGTCATCCAAGAGCAGCAGCAGCAGGCGCAGTTCCAGCGCCAAATGGGTCTTCGCCTCTCCGATTTGGAGGAGGAGTTGCGCAGCATGAATATGCGTCAGAAGGAACTTGAAAAGGCTCTTGGGAGTGCGAACCCCGACACGCTTCGAAAGATGCGTCAGGAGCTTGAGTACTTGGATGAGGGTTTAGGGAATCTGGCGCGTGACGTCAAGGAAACCCGGAGTTTGGGTGAAAAAGCGACACGGGCGGCTGAGGATGCGGGTCGTGGGGTTCAAAGTATGGGTCGGGAGCTGGGGGCCATGCGGGGGCGGCAAGACCAATTTCAGCAGAATCTGGACGAGCTGGCCCAGGAAAACAGGCAGCTGGGCGACGCCGTCAACGCGGTCGAGCGTGAGCTGTCGCAGCAGGCACAAAATCTAATCCATGATCTTGAGCAGATCAACAGCCGTGAAAACGTGCAAAAGCTTCGTGACATGTTAGATGAGCTCTGTGAACGCACTGACAAGAACTTCCGCAGCGTGGAGGAGAGTGCCCGTGCCGTGGACGCGGAGCTCATCCGCCACCGGTCGGATATTAATGGTCTTCAAGCTGACGTTGGATCTCTTGATGACCAGGTGCGACAGCATTTCTCAAACATCACTAAGGACGTTGACGCAAGGTGCCAGATGATTCTTGACACACTACGCGAGCAAGAGAGGAGCTCGTTGGAGATTGAAGAACACATGGTGGCCGCAGGACAGGCGCTGGCACGCAGAAAAGCGCTCAAGGAATCACACAGCGCGTCCGGAGCACGCGCGCACGACTCCTTTGGAACACGAAGAAATGGATGGTAGCGCCGTCGAGGGAATTTCACGGCCGCGCGCGGGAAACTAACGAGGAGAAGCAGAAGATAACGCCTTGGGAGAGTGCGTGTATGCGAAGCAAAGATGCAGGAAAAAAGTGAAAGAACATGGGGGTCAAATGGTATCGACGCACAGAATTGGGGGAATGTTTGTTGTAACTTTTATTATTCTGTACGGTTACTTTTGCGCGTTTGCTTTTTGTATTTCATTATACCGCCAACCGGAGTTCTGGTGCGTATAGGTGTCTGTGAGTTTTCGCTCTGGCCCGTGTACCCCCGTTCGTCCCTTTCAGTGGCAAGGCTTTTTTTGTACTGCCACTGCAACTCGCCGCCCACTCAAACTCGGGTCCGCTTGCACTGTGTGCTGTCGCGCGCCGCACCTAACTTTTCTGCTGGCTTGTTGTGTACTGCGTGGACCCAAGCTACCGTGGTGCTGGAATGCCGCTCATGAACCGCGAAACAAGAGATGGAGGAGTGTGTGTGTGTGTGTGTGTGTGTGTGCTTTTTGCCGTGTTAGATGGTGATAGTGTACTCCGTGTTGCGGGCACAAGTTAACGTTTCTTAGAACTCAGGTAGTGTGTGGAAAAAGATCACACAAAGAGAAAATATGTCAAGACTACCACCGCTGTATTGCGTGATGAATGCATATACATATTGTTATTGTTTTGTGTGTTCCTTCTTTTTGTGCTAGTTGTGTTTTGTTGTTGTATTTTCCCTCTTTTATATATTTTGGGTCTCGTTTTAAACTGTGCCCACACGCTCTGCATGACGTCCCCCCATTCTCCCAAGGTGCACCACGTAATGAGAACACAAATTCACTTTTTAACGTTCTTTTTTGTTTTTGTTTTTGGTTTTCTTATTATTATTACTACTGCTCCGTCTTTGTGTGTGTGCGTTCACTCAGCATCAATTTGGCTACGCCCTTCATGTACGTGGGTGCGTGGCAGGAGTACAAGCTCATGAAGGTCATTGAGAGCCTTCGGGAAGAGAATGAGCGTCTACGGCATGACGCCTCGGGATCCCCAGATGGGCTTACTGCGGCGACCTCACCGTGGTGGGGCGTTGACGCTGGCCAGGGAAGTAGTCATCACTTCCCTGTTAGCATCGGGGATGTGCCGACGGGTGGAGCTGCGTCAGTTGACAACTCTGTGACTTTGGCTCACATTGTGCCCACAGCTGCTGTACCGCGGTCTGTGCCACGCAGGGTTCCTTCGAATTTAAAAAACACGACCCTACGCCTCATGACAGCCGTGCATGGCGTCGGCGTGTTTGTTGAGGAGACGGAAGACGCCCATGTGGCACCTATGAGTGGCCCCGCCAGCGTTGGATTCAAAAGTTGCAGTGAGGGGGTGGAAAACAACAAGGCCCCCTCGCTCTCAAACAGAAGATTGTGCGAGCGGGTGGCTCAAGTACAGTTGAGCCCCAAGGATTGCAAGAGCTCTGTGGAAGATAACCCCGCCACCGTTGTGCATACGGAAATAGGCACTGGCAGGATTCTTGGTGCCTCTCACCAGCTCACCCCGCCCTCAACAGCCATGTATGCTGCTGCCGTTTTGTTGCCGTCCCTCATGGATTCGCCGCAAGCCCGAGACAATTTGCTTTTAAAGGAAGTGCTGCGTGGAGCTCCATTAGACACCAAGACAAAGTATCAACAGGCGGGTCAGCCGCTACCGGAACGACACGCACCGAAAAAGTCAAAAAAAAGTTCTGGGCTTACTGACGAAGAGGTGCAACAACGCATCGAGCGACGACTTCGGTTGCAGATGTTGTATACTGGCAATTTATCCGCCGCTGAGCATGTTTCTTCCGGCATTGGCGGGCCTTTGAAGGGGCATCAGGGTCAGGGTAGTGTAGCACTACCACCATTAGAGTCAGAAGTACAAGCACGACAAGTAGTCGGCTTTGCGACTGGCACTGGACAGGCGTTCCCGGGTGTACCGTGGGACTTTTCCGCGTTTGGGCCTCCCAACGCCTCTGCAGAAGATGATGTAACCCTTGTTTGTACTTCTGCGGCGCCGTCTGCGGCAATTGACAAGGAGCGGGGGGCGTTCCAACGCGTTTTCTCATCATTTTCCACTCACAATCGTTTGAGGCATCCTTACGATGTGGGAGCTCCGTTATCACCGCCGACTGTGGTTGCCACCTCCTCTTACACAGGTGCAAAGTCCCCGTTGGATCTTTCAGGTAGTGGAAAAACTGCAGAGGGAGGTGATGGACGTGGCAACAGTCGTCTTGGGGGGGATGCATTTAGAAACTCGTGTGGCGGTGACCTGCTTTATGATATCAGGAGTGGTTACAGTGTGCACAGTGCGCTAAACCCACCGGGGGCTCAATTTGACAAGGCAGATTCCAACGAAGAGCCTCATGTTTCTGTGAGCAGTGCAGGTTCCCTCCATTGTACGAGAGTGTATGGTAGAACATCCTTAGAAGCAGATCCCATTGATGATGACGCAATAGGCATGTTGATTAACTGGGCCGAGCAGTTGGATCCCGACAGCATTGCCTGAGAGGGTGCTCTTCAGATGGAGGAGGAGGAAGTTAGGTTGCCGTACTTTTTTTGCTTCATTTGGAGGAGGGTTATTCCTCTTTTTTTTTTTGCTTCATATACGTCGGCGGAGTGTTATTATTTTTGTGTGCCTTGGCTATTTTCTGCCTGATGTTCAGTGCTCCGTTCCTTTTTATTCTCGCAACGCCACAGTGTGAGGGAGCCAATTTGTAAGGTGTTTGCGTTTGTTTTTGCTTCCGTGACTCCTTTGTTGGGCTTTGCTGCTCCTCTTTTCCTTGGGGCTGCGGTGTGCTTCTCTCCGTGTGCTGTGATAGCAGAAAGAGCGCTCATCCACACGTCGTTACAAGCCCTGCACTTCAGACAAGTCGACAGGCGCTAAGGGAAGGGGAGTGGCGGGGGCGGCTCAGTGTCTCGTCATCGTTTTTTTTTTTTGTTTTCTTCAGGCTAGAGGAAAGGTAGGAGTCAATGAAGTTCTGGGAGTCTCACGCAGGCCATGGTCTCATGAAGGATGACGAGGTTGTCTTAAACTCCCAGAATGGTGTTGCCATTTACGAGGGGGAGAATCAAACACGTTGGCAGGACGGCAAACTGACGGTTACCACGCACCACATCTTTTTTCGTACATTGGACGGGGAAACACATGTCCTACGGCTTCCACTGCAAACCGTTTACAACTCTGGTAAGAGCATCTATAGCAAGGCACGCTTTGCCTTTTCGCACGCTAAGATCATAGTTCCGCTTCCAGGTCAAGACGACGTGTATGTGAAATTTTCCTTTCGACGTGGAGGCATGGAGGAATTCTTCGAGGCTCTGCAGAGGGCATTGCACGAAAAACACTGGATTCCAACTGTGCCACGTGCTACAGCTACAGCACCCTCGCCTCCATCGAAGAGGGCACCGTTACTCTCGTCAACAGAGACGCCAGCCCCGGGGTCAACCTCGGCTGCAAAGGGGATGCCAGCAGCAGCGATGACACCGGCGAATGTAGTAACGAGTGGGTTGTACAGAGAGGGTACTGTGGAGGGGGACGAAGGCAACATCATTTCATCAACGCCTCTACTTAGTGTCACTGATAAGGCTGGTATTGCGGGTCTTATGCGGGCCTTTGCGGAGAAGGTTCGACCGTGTGAGTCGCTGCGCGACATCGATGATGTGATGACAAAGGCCTCTTCTTTGGTGGCAAATATACGATATCTTCGGGAAAAGCAAAGAGCAGGTGAAAAGACTGCCAGTGAAGACGAAACAGAAATTGAAGGTATTGAGGCAACGCTTGGCCTCGGGGCGATGGTGCAAGCGTCGTCCAGCGGTTCCTCTCACGGTCGATTTCACCAAGAGCTTGCGCTGGAGTTGCATGCATGGATGACGCATGCAAAGAACGAACGTGTTTTTGGAAGTATGCCGCTGGTCCCGCTTATAGAACTTTTTTCACTGTATAATAAAGCTCGGGGTGGGAGTAATTTGGTTTCGCCAGGTGACGTCTTACAGGCCTGCCGTGCTATGACTAAGCAACAATACTCACGCTATACATTTAAGCAACTTTCCTCAGGGCGGCTTGCGCTACAGCACAAGGATCCCTCGTTGGTGTTGAAGAAACTAGTGCATGCTCTGGGGCCGCGTTACTGTAACCGCAACGACTCTTCTTTTAAAAATATAGGCTCCGAGGATACAGTTCCAACAACGACTGTTTTTCCGAAGTCATGGACTTCATTAAACTTCATCAATGAAGTTCAATTTGCGGCGAGTATTCAGGTGGCTCGCTCAGTGGCAGAGGATTTGCTAGAGGAGTTGGAGGCAGAGGGATTTCTATGCCGATCCGGAGTTGAAATGGGAAATATTGTATTTCACTGGAATATCTTTGTTTTTTGATTCTGTAAGCACTCATGCACACATCTTATTTTTTCCACTCCGTGAAGGTCAACAGGATTCATTATGGGAGCATGAAGAGAGCTAGCAGGCTTGAGTTGAAAGAACGCCGTTTTCTTTTTTTTCTATATTCACGTTGTGTGTATGTGTGTGCGTCTCGAACATGTCGTGGTGCTTCGGATGTTTGCGTGCTTGTTTATGCTGATTGTATGCACCTCCTACCAGCAAAAATACTGGCTGGCACCCTCTTTTTTTCCTTTTCTTTTAACTTTCTTCTTTTCATTGGGATTTACAATGGGTCAGCTGTTTGAGCGTGGATTTCCTCGCCGTAGTTTCCGCCGCTCTGTGGATTTTTCACTCGTATGCCTATTCTCTCTCTGCCGTGCTTCTAGATTTTATTTCATCTGTCTTGACAATTCACTTTTTTGTTCTCTTTATGGATAATAACATGTTGTATACCATGTTTCTGAGAAAAGAGTGCACGAAAGAAGAAGAGAAGCGCACCAGTCACATGGAGACGAAGGTTGAGGCGACTTTTAATCAGCTGCAAGGCATATTGGATGAGAAAGGCTTCGGCTCCTGGAAGGAGAACGACGCCAATCTTCTGCTCTCGCTCCTGGATGGATACTACACGCATCAGCGCCGACTCCAGACAAAGCAGACGAGGAATCCCAACGGTGAGGCGGGAACAAGCGAGACGGTGCACGTAGACGATGAAACCGTGATAACGGAGGCGGACAGGTCGCTCACAAAGTTGCGCCATTTTTTGCAGCAGCGTGTCCCGTATGGCTTGATTGCCGGACCGAACGTTCCACCTGTTTCCGTGCCCACTGTTCTTCAAAAATGTGGTGCTGCGCCAATGCCAGAGAAGAGGGAAATGGAGACGCCCAGCTTCTCGGTGGATGCCTTTATTTACCTTGAGGAGGACGTTGAGGAGCTGGTGCAGCGTGGCTGCATCGCGCGGGAATACTGTCGAGGGTGTGGGTCGCTCGACATTGGCCTCTGTGACTTTATTACCCATTCCTTTTCACAGGAACAATTAGTGTATCTTTCTTGTTTTCTGCTCCCTGCCCTCAGTGACAGCGCGTATTTTGTCACTTCCGACTTGTGTCTGCGCCGACGTGATACAGAGGTCCATTCGGCAGCAGCCCCTTTTAGCTGTCACCACGTGGTGGATGTGGGTTCGCGCCTTGGAGTAGTGCTGCTTTCATGCTATTTTGCCGCACAACAGAAACGCCTAGCAAACACACTACTAGTGACTGGCGTGGAGCTAGATGATGAAATGGTCAACCTGCAGCGCGACGTCATTAAGCGCTTTGCGACCAAACCAACGCATCTTCGGCTGGACGTTGTTCACAGCAGCTGTTTTGAGGGGATGGGGGCGGAGGCCCTTTGCGGGGCCGATGTGATTATACTCCATAACGTGTTTGAGTATTTTACTGCGTCGCCGTTAGAACACCTCAAGTGTTGGCAGCGTCTTCGCAAAATTGTGACGCGCCGCGGACAGCTGCTCGTATGCTGCCCAAGCTTGGAGGAAACTTTTTCCGCCTTCACAGAAGCAGAAGTGCACGGCGCCATGAACGGCGACGGAACTGCCACTGAATCTGCTCTTCAACGCAGGGAGAATGATTTTGCGCGCAAACGACCGCGTGAGGGGAAGCAGGACGGCTGTGATGTTGACCGTTGGTATCAGTCCTGGGTGGAGGAGATTGACGTGGCGGAGGTACGGGATGCATTCCTCACCCTCTACCGCGGGAACGACTCTTGCCATGCCGAAGGTCATTCCTCGTGTGATGGTGAGGCGGACGGGGAGCTCACGGAGAGACTCCGCAGTGTAAGAGTATATAAGGTGAAGGAATGAAGGGCTTAACCGATTCCCTAATTTTTTTTTTTTTGTGTTGTGCTGTTGTTGCATGCTGCTTGACGCACCCACGTTCTCTCTAACTGTGACGTGTATGGTGTGCGTCTTTTGTAGTTGGGAATGGAGCAAGCTTTCACTTTTCTCTGAGTTTCCACTGCATTCCCACCCCTTTCGGAGTGCTGCCGTGCATGAGACGGAAAAAGATGGGTACGGATGAAGCATATAATCAATTCACCGTGTTTCTTTCTTTGCCACACTTTTTTTTTTTTGCTGCGGTTAAGTAGATAAAAGGACAAGCGCGAGCAGATCCTGAAAACAAAAACGAGATTATATAACTAAGGAACAAGGACGTAAACAACACAAGCAAAAGTGACAACAATCGAAAGCGAATGGCTGTCCTGCAGCTCATAACCATCACAATCCTGACAGTGGGGAAGATACTTCTTTGCTCTTGTGTAGGCCTTTTTGCCTCAAGGTACTTTGTTGAACCGGAACAGAGCGTAAAGGGGCTTAGTACTATTTCTGTTCTTATTTTCCTCCCGTGTCTTCTTTTCTCCAACCTTGTGCTGCAAGTTACATGGGAGGAGTTGGGGCAGTTTTACTGGGCCCCTCTCTTAGCCTGCGTTACCACCATAATGGGGTTTGTCTCTTCGCAGGCGTTTAAGCTATTTCTCCACCCGGAGTGGCACAGCGTACTTGTATTGGGATGCACATTTCAAAATGGTCTTACATTTTCGTTGTCAATTCTTCTAACTATAAAGGGTGTGTCGTGGCTGACACCAGAGGAGAGACAGCGAGGACTATCATACATTTTTCTGTATAATATAGTCTGCTCTCTTGGGCTGTGGGGCATTGGAGAGCCAATTATCAGATCTTGTAAGAATAAACTTGAGCAGAAACATCTTCAGTGCCAGCAGCTGCAAGAACGCGCAGTAGAAGAGGAAAGAAATAAGATGCGGGATCGAATAAAGACGGCCGAGAATGCGCCAGCTGTTTTCTCTCCGTGTGAGCGAGACCACTTCCCAGATGAAAATGGCACAACAACTGATATAGCAGGAGAAGAACCCGCAGAGATCCCTGCAGAAGGGAATTCGGGTTCTACAGTATCCAATCATGATCTAAAAAGGATAGTAAGGATGGCAACAGTGGAAGAACAGCTTGCGTGGTATCGTCCATGGAATAGTGAGGCGCCGATTCAGCTTGGAGGCGTAGATCATTCATCTTCGTTTCTTGGAGATGTGCTCTCACGTGTGAGAACTCTTTTGAAAGTTCCACCGATAGTTGCCACCATTGGAGCCCTCATTTTTTCATTAGTACCGCCACTGCGTTGGTTGGCGGAGTCGCCCCAGGGCGAGGCGCTTATTGGTGGAATGAAATTAATTGGGGCGGGAACCATACCACTTCAGCTTCTCATACTTGGTTGCACCGTTGCAGCTGCATGCAATCGTTCTTCTAATGATAATAGGATTGAAACAACAGCAAATGAAGATGATGGGGAATCTCTAAGTGAAGGGGAAATGGTTGCTGATACACCGAAGGAATACATTGATTGCTTTCCCGTTTCTCAGTCGTTGCTTTTTGCAATCCTGACGGTGGTTCTGCGCCTTATTCTAATTCCGATGGTCTGCTTTGTAATAATTCATTTCCTTTACAAGAGAGACGTTATTCCGTCGGATCGAACTTTTTTACTTGTAATATTATTGGGATCGTGTGCCCCTTCCGCCATAAATTCCTCTCTTATTTGCTCCATGCATGCATACAAGGCAAGACCATATGCGCAGATGATATTCATAATGTACGTTTCGGCCGTTGCAACCACGGCACTGTGGCTCGCATTTTACATATGGTACCTTGGTGAGTGAAAGCCTCATTGTGATTAAGCGTGATGTTGTAATGCATCGTCTCTCCTTCCCTGAGTTGCTTCGATTGTTGCGTAAAATGTTTGTGTATGTGTGACTGAGAGATGAAAAAAGTTACTTTCAAAGTTTTTGTGTATGAGTGAGTTTGTTTTTTGTTTTGTGTGACGCATGGTGAACCTACATGTGTAAGACGGTTGGACTCATTTAACGTTTTAATCACTGAGAAGCAAAGGGCTCAGAGTAGTACGGAGCAGGAGTCATGTTTTTTTTTTTCTTTAAAGCTTTGCTTCTTTGTTTGTCTGCTTGGGCACCGTGCTCTCTCGTAGGAGAATACATATCTCTTCTTTGCATTGTTGTTCCTTCGTGTTTGGGGATATTGGATTTCTTCTACAATGTTATAGGCAAAGTATAGTTTAAGGTATTATCTATACAGTGAAGAGTTTGTGGTAATATTATTTCATATATATATATATATATATATGAAGAAGTAAATATGGACCGCCTTATATCTTCCGCAGTCACTGTTGGAAAGGTGATCTTTGTCGAGTTGGTGGGCATGTGGGCCTCGCGGCACTTCACCGCCAAGGAAGAATCGCTCAAGACGCTCAGTCATATTTGTGTTAAAATATTTCTGCCGTGTCTTCTTTTTTCACAACTGGCAATGGATCTCTCGTGGGAGATGATTTATAAGTATTACTGGGCAGGCATATTGCCGCTTATCCCAATGACACTTGGTTTTTTTTCGGCTTTTGCCTTCCGCTCGTTTATTCCTGCAGAGTTTTATGGCATGCTTCAGCTGGCGTGCACGTTTCAAAGCATTGTATCTTACGGTTTGGGGATTACGCTCAATCTCAAAATCTCGTGGTGGACTAGGGAGAATAAAAGTAAGGCTGAGTCATATGTGTTTCTTTTCAACGTGCTGCACTCCATATTTCTCTGGTCGGTTGGCACAATGATTGTTGAGAAGTGCGCCAAGGCCTTGGAGGAGGAGAACGCCGTCACCGCTGCTGCTGCTGCTGCGTCAATATCTGAGAGGAATGACGCTGCGAAAGAAGCGGAAGGAGCTTTGGAAGAGTGCTGGGGTTATGAAGACTACCAGCCTACCTCGCACCCAGACTCCGCACCAGTATCACTGTGGCCGAAAACAATGTCGACGACGGATTTAACGTGGATGAAGTACATACGCGTGCAGCTCCCGTACCTGCTCACAGAGCAACTGGTTGCCAGTTTTTTGGGATTGCTGATTGCTCTTGTTCCGCCTTTTTATCTGCTGCTAAAGAACCCTGTGGGGGAAATGATAATGGGTGGAATTGCTCTGCTGGCTCCCGGCGCTGTGCCGCTGCAACTTTTGTTACTCGGCGTCAATGTCACTGCAGAGGATGATGGTTCGACAAAACTTCCCGTACGCTTTATGGTGGGAGTTATTGCTCTTCGTCTTTTTTTTATTCCCTTTATTTGCTTTGGCATCATTCACCTTCTCTTGGTATGTGGTCTGATGCCATATGACAAACCGTTTGTGTTGGTGATGCTAATACTAACTTCTGCCCCAACGGCAGTAAACACGTCTAGCATATGCTCCATGTATTCATACAAAGTGAAGGAGTTTACGAAACTACTTCTTTTCATGTATACCTCCTGTATCTTTACAACAACTGTTTGGCTGACAGTATATGTTTGGTATTTGGAGTCCTAGAATATCCTCGAATAAGATGATTTTCCGTTTATAGCTTAGCACAAGCATGCACAGAGAATGAAAAACAAAACAAAAACAAATTGAAACTGAGAAGTGCAGTGGTTAAACCATTTATTCGTCTTTTTATCTTCCTTCATTTCATATAATTTTACTTGAGTTCCGCTATATGTGTAGGTATATTATGTATCAGTACATGTATATTTCTATACATGCATTCCTAGTATAATCAATTTCTTTTTTTTTAAGTGTTTTTCCATTTTCTCTCCCAGTCTCTTATAGTCCTTCATATTCGTCTGCAAGGATATCTTTATTTTTCTTTTTCTTTTTTTACCACTGCGTGTGGATGCCATCGGATGCTGTGGATTCGGGAGATGGACGGCATGTGTCACGTTTGTTTTTCTCACGCTTTTTTTTCTCTGCACATTATTTTAAAAGGTTGCACGCAAGATCCACGTATTAATGTTCTATTGCTCTCTGAGTATACCTGCGTGAGTGTTTGCCTGAGAAGGAAGGAGACGCCTGGTGTTGTCCCGTGTAGCTCCTTTGCCACGCGTGCGCATGGGCGTGTGGTGGGGTTTGTCACTGCTGACATCGTCTGTGCACTCAATGAGATTTTTTCTGCTTTCATTTGCCTCCTGTGTGCTTTAGGGTGCCGCGTACACAAATTGCGGGAGTGAGCGAAGTTGTGGGAGTGTGATTCTCTGTGGGGGAGGCGATGGCATCCGCGGCCAAGCGGCGTGTTGCCATGATCACTGGTATCACTGGGCAGGACGGGTCATACCTTGCGGAGCTGCTTCTCGAGAAGGGCTACGAGGTGCACGGCGTCATCCGGCGGTCTTCTTCCTTCAACACGGGCCGTATTGACCGCATCTACCGCAATGAACATCTCACGCTCCACTACGGTGACATGACAGACGGGACGATGCTGCACCGCCTCGTTGCGCAGCTGCGGCCCGACGAGGTGTACAACCTTGCCGCACAGTCGCACGTTAAGGTGTCCTTCGACACACCCGAGTACACGGGGCAGACGGACGGCATTGGTACGCTGAAGCTTCTTGAGTCCATTCGTGCCAACAACCTGCTGGAGACGTGCCGCTTCTACCAGGCGAGCACCAGCGAGCTCTACGGCAAGGTGCAGGAGGTGCCGCAGACAGAAAAGACACCCTTCTACCCGCGTAGTCCTTACGCTGTGGCGAAGCTCTACGCCTTTTGGATAACTGTGAATTACCGTGAGTCCTACGGTTTGTTTGCATGCAATGGTATCCTGTTCAACCACGAGTCCCCACGCCGTGGCGCGACGTTCGTGACGAAGAAGATTGTGCGTGCTGCGGTGCGCATCAGGAAAGGCTTGCAGGAGGAGCTGCTCCTCGGAAACGTGAATGCGCTGCGTGACTGGGGACACGCGAAGGACTACGTGTACGGCATGTGGCTGATGCTGCAGGCGAAGAATCCCGACGACTGGGTGCTGGCGACGGGCGAGCAGCACAGCGTAAAGGAGTTTTGCAACTTGGTCTTTGAGAAGCTTGGCTACACACTGGAGTGGTCCGGCAGTGGCTTGGACGAGGTTGCGTACGACATGGCGGACCCGAAAAAGGTGCCGCTCATTCGCGTGGACCCGCGCTACTTCCGCCCTGTGGAGGTGGAGACGCTGCTGGGCAACCCCAGCAAGGCCGAGAAGGACCTTGGCTGGAAGGCCACGTACAGTTTCCAGGAACTGGTGGATGAAATGGTGCAGCAGGAGATCCGTGACATTGAAACCGGTGTGGATGCATGGCGATGAGGAAGAACGCGCATGCCAGTAGGAAATAAGCATGTGGTGCGGGAGTGGAGTGTGGGCGGGCGATGCATTTGCGTTTGCGTGTTTGTACTTTACAGAAGATGACAAAGGAAAGAATAGGGAGGGCGCTCATAATTACAGATTAGTGTGTGTGTTTTTTATTCTGCTCTCACGAGGCGGAGGTGTTTGTTTCTCAGTCTATGGACCCATCATGCGTGGCGGTTAGCTGAGTGGTGGGGCTGTTTATTTGTAGCCCACCTCAGTTGTGTGTTTAATTTTTTTTTCTTTTGTTTCTGCGTTGGCAAGATAAGTTGCTGGCGTTCTCTCCGCCGTATTGGGGCCATTGCTGGTGAATGAAATGTTCGTATCGTTATTGTTGTTGGCTGTAGCTGACTCATACTTGTGGTGACTGTGTTGGTGGGGTTGCGGGCGTAACGCAGAGTTTTTTTTTTTTCTTTTTGGTTGGCGAGTGGTGAGTGATTTTTATTTTATTTTACATTTCCTGCTTGCTATGCTGTGGGCAATTGTGAGTGCCTCTCTTGGACATTTTTTTTATTTGTTTTGTTTTTACTTTTTGACCTTGTGTTAACTGTGTGCTTACCGTTGTTTCATCCGTCTTCTCACTTTTGTGCGTGTAGGACCGCGGTGCGGTGTTTTTTGTTTTTGTTTTTGCTTCGCCTGTTTGCGAGACTTTCGTAGTTATATCACGCGGACACGAAGACTGTGCACGCAGACACACAATATT